CTAAGGAAGCTTTCTTCCCCAAACTGATACCAAGAAACAGTGGTAAGCTATGGGGAGGAAATGAAGGTGAATCATAATCATTGGTTTCATGTCATTCCAGTCTACGGTTCATTTTTTGAACTGATACCATTTCGGTACCAGTCAATGGCTGCATGGCTGAGGCCTGCTTTCATCGTTTTGGCGAGTGCCAGCTTCCAAGGTTTCCTGCAACTCCCAGTGGAAAACAGACTCATCTCGCTGTAAGGATGGAGTATGGGACGTGCTTGATGACCAAATCGCCGTGGATCTTGTGTGGGATCTCTTAGGCTCCGCCCAGGACCGTGATTCACACTTAGATTGGCACACAGCACTGCAGAATACAACGTGTTTTTGCTGCATTGGAGCAAGCGAACTAGTTGTGAAAGGACACTTTGAACATGTGGACAAATATTCCCATTCTCCAATGTACTTCTTGATCTTCATTGCCTGGAGCAAACTGCCGGATGCATGTGGCAGGACCCACGGCGTGGCGTGGCTGGTGTGCTGCAAGAAGCAGCGCAACTTGTCGTGCAGGCTGCCAAAGATCGCGGCTCTACTGACAACCTGACGTGCCTCATCTTGCTTTTGAACCTAGGCGGGGTGCAAGAAGTTGGATATAACAGGTACATAGTGGGTATACTAAATATAACATAATATAACTGCGATATAACTTATAATTTGATATATTCTGAATGATATATCATGATTAACTATGGTGTGTTGAAAAACAGCCAGATACTTCTTGAATGCAGTGATATCTCATAGGCACCAGTGGTTAAACTTGGAAGTTCTTTGGACTTGTGCGCTGGGTAACACTCAACACATGCTCCGACATGGTCAGATTGAAGCTGATTCAGAACATCCTGAACTCCGAGAGCAGCGGAAGCAGAAGATATGGGAAAGCACCTGGGCAAATTTCATTGGATTGGGGGATCAAATCACATTTACACGAAACATCGCGACACCCTGTTTTTGGCCACGGAGAACAGGTTTCTTGGTTTCATGTTCCCTTGATCGAATTCTGGAGGTGCTGGGAGCAGAGACTCCATGCCAGTGACCAGGTTACTTTCAGAAAAAAGAAGCGATGATGGCTGATGGTCATGGCTTTTTTAAGTGCTTTTTTTCATGGATGGTCAACCCAGTCAACCCAGTCAACCCAAACATCGCTGGCTTTCGTCCCAGTAAACAGCATCGGTTTCAGAGAGCTAGTGCATGTGACTCCATGGTCGCTACATCACGGCTCCAGATGTCAGAATGAAACAAACTGCTCCAACGTAAGTTTGATGCGGATTTTGTGCGATTTATGTCATGCAGGTTGTGGTCACTGATATCACGGAGCTCATTGCATGATATTGTATGTGTATTTATGGAATATGTGTACATATATATATAATTATATATATATATACACATACATACTGACATAGATTCGGTATACATTGTATACATTTTTTTCAACACTGCAGGGGCAGTGTTTCGTGCTTCCAGCAGTGAAGCAACGAAGACCTGTGCCACCCTGGCCAAAAGCCGCTTGCGTTTCAGATGGCTTCAGCGAAAAGGACAACCTTTTTTTCCAGACATGTAATATGTCATGTGGTTGGAACTACTTCCACGAGACCATTTGCTGCACAGGAAAGGTGGATAGTTTGAAGATGGGACCATGCAAGTGTACACGCCAGATTGCCAGATGCATGCTGCAGGACACTTTCCCCAATGTACTGTCCATGCTCTTAGCTTTGAGCAGCTCATGGCACTGATTCAATCCCTGTCCATGATGGCATGTTTTTCCTATTTAAGATATGGGGGTGTCTTGAAAGAACCCGATATGGGGGTACCCCCATTTCAGGAAACCTCCATATGGTTTCATTTGTCTGCGTTTATGAAGCACCACTAAGTCTCACCCATTCGCATGAGGTGCAGGCCATGCATCTTGGACGGGGACTGGCCAGACCGGGAAAACTCTGTGATTCCTGCTACATTGTAAATCGCTTTAAACACTTTACACCGCTCATTGTCATTCCAGCAATTCCCAATTTTTGTATATTTATATTATGCGGATAGATAGACAATGTGTGTATATATATATATATGTATATACACATGTAATTACACACACAGATACACATTGTATTATATATATACACAATGGGGCTATCTTCCAGATTGCAACTTGATTCATTTTGACTTATGGCCAGGGTGAGGGCCCCTGCAGCTAGCATGGCATCTGCTTCTGAGGCCGGCTTGAACGCTTCAAATGTCTTGCCAGTTTTTGTGGCAGTTGATCTTTGATGCCTGATTGGTGTGCTCCCTGGAGACACCAACGTTGATGTGTTCTTTTCATTTCTTTTCAGCGTGTTGTGGCGCGCTTTGTTTCTGGCTCCAGCAGCTTGTTGCGTGAAGGGTCTCCCGCTGTCGTGTGGTCATACCGACCCCGCGTGTGTCTCCGCTTGCGACATGGGATCTGGTTCATCCGTTGATGCGGCTGAGGCGGCCAAAAATGCCACAGATGAGGATATCCAGAAGGCCTTGGACAACATGCCCGAGGAGAAAAAGGCAAAGGCAGTGGCGGCTCTTGCCTCAAAGAAAGCTGGCCCCAAGGCTGAGAAAAAAGCTTCTGGGGATCAAACAGTGGCAATCATCTACTACTCCATGTATGGTCACGTAGAAGGCATGGCGCAGGAAATCAAGAAAGGCCTGGAGAAAGGAGGTGTTTCTGTGGACATGTTTCAAGTGCCAGAGACACTCCCGGATGATATTCTGAAAATGATGGGAGCTCCTCCGAAAAATCCAGATGTGCCAACCTTGGACATGGAGATGGTCACAAAGCTTCATGAGCATCTTGGTGGTGTTTTGTGGTGCTTTTCTTTTTTTCTTGAAGTTTATGTTTTGGTGACTCCAGCTATGCAATGGCAGTAGGAGTTTTCCACGTCCACTGTTGTTCCAGGACACATCCAAAGGGTTGGTTCAGTGGTGCACTGGTCCACCAGGTATGATGGCTTCATGTTTGGCATTCCAACCCGCTTCGGCATGATGTGTGCTCAGATGAAGGCCTTCTTTGACATGACTGGGGGCCACTGGATGAAGCAATCCTTGGCGGGTAAACCCGCTGGGACCTTTGTCAGTACCGCCACCCAAAATGGCGGGCAAGAGCTTACCCACATGCAAACTCTTTCGTGCTTGGTTCATCATGGACTGATGTATGTGCCATTTGGTTATCAGGGAGGCGGACCCATGTTCTCCGTTGACGAGATCCACGGCGCAAGTCCTTGGGGTGCCAGCACCCTTGCGGCCGGTGATGGCAGCCGAAAGCCATCGGAAATGGAGCTACAAATGGCGAACCTTCAGGGAGAGAAGTTTGCTGATGCGGTGAAGCGCACCAAAACAGCAGAGGTCTCGCGGAAGTGCAAGGTTGGTTTAGTGTACTACACCTATGGCCACATCAAGAAGATGGCAGATGAGATTGCTAAGGCCGTTGAAGCAGAAGGAGTGGAAGTGGTGAAATATCAGGTGAAGGAAACCCTTGATGAAGGAGTGCTCACTGCTATGGGAGCACCTCCAAAGTCTGAGGACAAAGTCATTGAACATGCCAACTTGGAAGAATTGCTGGCGTGTGATGGAATCATGGTCGGAGTTCCTACACGTTTTGGGCAACCAGCTAGTCAAATCAAGAGCTTTTGGGATTCCACTGGCGGACTTTGGCAAGCTGCAAAAATGGTGGGAAAGTTGGGTGCATCCTTTGTGAGCACTGGAACACCACAGGGAGGCCAAGAAACAACCCACTTCACACACCTCCCCAATTTCGTTCACCATGGCATGATCTATGTACCCTTGGGCAGTGCGGATCCCAGCCTTTTAAGCATGGATGAGTTGCACGGAGGAAGCCCTTGGGGTGCCAGCACCTACGCAGGAGCAACAGGTACTCGGCAGCCTTCAGAAATCGAATTGAAAATTGCCGCCGTTCAGGGGAAGACCTTCGCAGCCAAAGTCAAGCTGATGGCCGTTTGAGCCGCTGTCTGAACGAAGAAGCTGAGCGCACATGGCAGACATGAGTGGCAGTGACAACTTGTCACCGGACAAGATGACTGACTGCTTGTCACTTTTGACATACTTTTGACATTTGAAGAATCTTTTCTTTTGAGAGGATTTTAGAGACATCTTGAAAACTTAGTTTTAATGAAATTTCTGGCACTGATGATATTCTGGTCACCTTTAGAGGCCTTAGAGCACTCTAATAGCAATTCTTGTTTGTTCTTGTCTGAACATGCCACAATGTCTGAGCACTGTTGGCCTTTGCCAAAGTCTGCCAAAGCAGAGCAGCCGATTCAGCAATATTCAGCACCCAATAACCCCCTCTCTATGGCAAGTGAACGTCAGACGGTTGCATCGTTCTGTTTGCAGCTTGCCAAGCAGATACGACCAGAAGGTGAGGACAAATTCAATCTAATATTGATCTATATCTATACATGTTTCGTTTAGGGAGGTGGGGGGGGTGTGCTTGCTGATGCACCTGTAAAAACCAGACATGCTGGCTGTTCAAGCGGAAAAGGAGTTGAGATGCTGTCGAGGCACATTCCAAGCAGCACGCAGCAACCGCACGCAGCAACCACCATTGGAGTCCGCTCAACAATCGATCTGGCTGGTGTTTGGGAATTCTGAAATATGTTTGCATTTCTACCTTATCTATCCTTATCTTGGATGATGATCTGAGTACATTATGTTTTTTGGGATGCTTTTTGAACCACGAACCATCACCGTCACCAAGAGTCGGGTCCAACGAGGTGGCGTGGCTGGGTAAAATGGGAACGTCATTTCGAGGAAAACGGTCTTCAACATTCTTCAACATTCTTCAACTGACTTCAACCATCAAATTTGGGGTTCGCCCAAAATTTCAGTTGCCCTGTATTACCTGTATGCGTTGCAAGCCAATGCTGTGTGAATTTCCAGACAGCTCTTGCAGCCGCGTGGTGCAAAGGTTTGGAGCCATGGCGTTTCGTGTGTTCCTCCTTGGTTTTCTTTTGACCTCCGGTGCTGCCCCTGTTGGTTTAAAGGATGTACAGCGAGCCAAGACCAAAAAGCCAGGTGCTGACTACAGAGGTCACAGCCAGGTGGCGATGAGTAAAAAGCTGAACGATCACCTGATCCGGGCTGAGAGTTCTTCCTCTCGAACGTTGCCATGTGAGAAATGGTCCCTGTCCGAGCTGCAGAGCTTCATGGCCATGGTGGCTGAGCACCGCAGCCATGAGCTGCAGCTCATTTACAAGTCCACCATGGATCGTCGAAGTATACGTTCAGAGTCCTTGCCAGAGTTCCGATCCCAGTGGCAGAGATTCAATCAACTGGTGAACAAGCATCCTCATTTACATGCACCTCAGAAGGAGGCTCATTGCAGAGAGGCGGTGATGTGGTGGGTGCATCACTTAGCTGAGGAGAAACGGCAAGAGCTCCGTTCCCGGCCCAACTTTTCTGTGCCGCTGCTTCCAGAGGGAGCAAAGAAACCCTGCGGCCAGCTGAATAGCGATGGGGGTGTGGCCATTGACAATGGCATGCTTGCAGAATCTGCATCAGATGCAGAAGAGCTTTGCGCCAAAGTCAACGAGGCGAATTCTTGTGATTCCCGGATTTTCTGGAGATGATTTTCGATTTTTCCATTGGTTAATCCATCAGAAATGCAGAATCTGTAGGGATTTCTTGTAGGTTTTTTTTCGTAATGTCGGAATTGGCGCAACGTCCAAGGATTGGTGTCACTCCACCCAGGCAGACCATGACAAGGGCGTGCCAGGCACCTCAGTGCCCGATGGGTTGAAGAAGTTCACCGGGCCGGACGATGGCAACCCGCAGGGCTGGAACCGAACGCGGCGCTGCGATCAGGATCAGATGCCGCGGTGCCAACTTTGTGAGGCGCAGAGCTTTTTGTGTCTGAGACAGGATGATCATGATCCAGTCATTGGGGGGTTTGATATGGTTATGGTTGAATAGTTTAATATGGTTCTTAATGCAAAAAGGATCAAGTCCATGAATAGAATGATATGTCCATGTATGTCCAGTTTGTTTTTTTTTGCCTGGCTAGTCTGGTGCAGGGCATTGGGGGCATGGCATACGGCGATCCCAATGACGACATCATCATCACGACGCTTGCTGAAGTGTGGTGGGTGGGTCCCAACATGGCTGTCGTGATGTCAATCGGATTATAGGGTGCCCAGGGATCCCCAAAATCCAGTGGTCAATCATGGTCAATCATCACTATCCCTAGGAACAAATTGCCACTTGATGGGTATCCCAAGGTATACCGTATACCCCTTTTTCAGACACTCCAAGGCCATGTGAGATTGTGGCCAACGCCAGTGAAGTGGACCCAAAAACTGTAGCCAAGCCCTTGTACCCGAAGCAGTTCACCATCAAGCGCAAGGATGGAAAGCAGGGTGGCTATTCCGACACTTTGATCGGAACCTTGGTGCAGCTTGTTTCTTCTAGCTTGGAAGAGGGAAATGGAGCACAACCTGATGGTGTGAGGTTGATGGGTTCCGGTTGGTTCAGACGTATTGAGATTGAGTGGTGCACAGCCAGCAGGGCAGGCTTAGCATGCGGGGGGGCAGTCAAGTTGAAGTTTTGGAGCTGAATTCAACTTGTCCAATGTTAAGGATGGAAAACTGACCCCTTCTGCTTCGGATTCTTCCCACAAAACGACTCCACGATTCTTGGCAATCCTGTGCTGACCAGCAGCCAGGTCAATCAAGCTATGCTTGCTGTAGCTGTGACATGTTCTGTTTGTTCGGCAAGAGGATGCATAGTTGTAATTATGACTGCTTCTGTCGGAGAGGGTGGAAATTGGTTTGCAATATGAACGGCAATGCTTTGTTGTAGCGCAGAAAACCAAGGAAACCAATGTGCTACAGAAGTGAGGACAGCTTCTAGGAACGTGCATGCATTAGCCTACTTTCCTGTGAAACGCTCGTTAAAAATTGTTGTGAGTTTGTTGTAGCTCGTCAAGCCACTATTATACGTTGATTCCGGAGGATGCTTTCATCAAATACTACGACATTGAAAGGGAGGCGCAGCGTGCCGACTACACTATCCACAATGGAGGATTGCCACCTGATTGCAGATATGCATCTGATTTGATGGTTGACAATCATTTTCCCCATGAAAATGGACCGTTTTCAGACAGACCCTCAATGTTGAACTGCACCTGAAACCTGCAGCAATTTTCTCTGCCATTCTGATTCTGCTGAAGTTAAGTTTGAGTTTCTGAGGTTCGCAGCGTTCCCGAATATCACCTCTTCAATCTTGCATGTTCAAGATCAGATGTGGATCCAAAATGATGCCTGGCAAGTCTCAGGACACTTCTTCATGACTTTTGAAAGTGGCTGTGGGTCAAAGCTAAGAGATCCAAGAGGAACAACGGTTGGCACATGAAGGCTCCGCAATAGATTCTATACACTACAGACATTCTACAGACTAACAACAATGCCAGGAACATGAAAAAAAGCTGATTGCGGGGTTGATTCCACATGCTGCAGATGGCTCTTCCAGAACTTGAGCACCAAGGATTTGTGGGGCGTGAAGCAGTGCATTTGTTCGAACCCCTCCGGCAACCACTGCACCAATCCTCCATGCAAGGCCTATGTTGCTCGCCGCCAGAATTCCAATCAGATCAACGGGAAGATGACAAAATGGATGGAAGCAATATGAACTTGTTAATGGGTTTTAATGGGTTTTAATGGGGCATCATGGGGCCATAGGGCTTGACTTTCCTTCACACCTATCCCCAGAATGAGAAGCAACATATCAAGCATCTCACGTTTGTTCTTGCCTTTACACAACTTTTTGGCCTTTGCAACTGAAACCCTGCTACCCGAGATGAGGTTCAGCATTGGGATACCTTTGCTCGCGACTCAGAAGTCAAGCTGCGACTTTGCGCTTCAGTGACAGGCTGTGCCATCTCGAGGACACAGAAGATTCAACAATGCTTCAGTTCCTTGTTCAGGCATCTGCGCAACATCTTGGTCGCGAACGGATTGGTGTCGCAACTTGATCTCAAGAATGGTTTTCCTCACTGGAACATTGGGTTCGCGGACTTTCATAGTTTGCTGGGAATCACTCATCGCTACCGTACTGTAGAAGATTAAAGCATTTGCATGGTGGCTGGACCAGTACATATCGTCTGTAAATAGCACCGAATGCCACTGCTTAATAAGATGTGCTTCCATCTTAAGGTTTCGGATGCTTTTGGGTGTGTTTTCGAGGTTGTCTAAGTTGCTTTTCCCATCGCTGACATGATCATCTCCAAGTGATGCATCCGTAAAACCACAAGGAGTGGATCCAAGATCATGGCGTGGGGCACTCTGCCAAGATCATGGAGTGGCCCGGCTGATTTCTTTTCGGCCAAACCTTTTGTGGGGATGGGTCAAAATTTGGGTATTTGAGCAATGAGCAATGCATTTTTTTGGGGGGCAAATTGTTTTGAGCTCCCAAAGTACTGGTAGATACCAATCACTACACTGCATACATTGTGCATGAAGCAGCCACGATACTAGCGCTTTTTATGAAATCTGCAATGACTTTTTCGCGCCAATTTTGATGAGGCTGGATCACTTCATTCTCTGGGCACATCATGTTTGGACTGGCGCTGAGATTTGTCTCCGACCGTACATTGACTATTTTACAGTAGCTGTTGAAGTACGCGCTTGACACCTGGATCTCAGACTGTGGAATTTTGGAACATGGCAGATTAGTCAACTGTTCAAGTTTTCCATCAACCACGTCCCAAGTTCAACAGATCTAGGACGGACCCAATCTCCAAGCGCTTGGTTCGCGCATGGAAACCCTTCAACGGTCTGCAGCTCTATGACCCCGAGGCCATCCGCAGAGATCACCGACCTGGGGTGAATTGTAGCAACTGTAGGATATCCCCAATCCTTTGCCAAAGGTTGCTTAGTGATCTTAGTGGGTTTCAACATGTTTCAACATGTCTCACTACTTTTTGCTTGGTCCCCAGTGACCCTTTTGACGGATTCGTCATCGCTGGTGCTCCAAGGCCTGGGAAGATCAAGTTGAGGACCCCTCCGTGTTCGACTCGCTGCCGCCTCGGCTTTCGCAGTAAAACCATAGGGGCCAGGCATGGAGCCCGTGCACGTTAGGCCTCCCGAGATGTGCAAGAAGGGCCACAGGTCGGTGAGGATCCACTGTGACGATGATGGTTTCTTAGCTGCAGCCAACAAGGCAGAAGCATGTGCTGCAAGAGTGTGGGCTCTCCCGGGCACAGGCAACTACCATCCGAAGAAGTCTGCCAACACCCACATCTTGGATGCGCTCTTCCGAAGGTCTGATGTTTGTGCCGCAACGGTGTGAAGTTTTGAACTTGGAAGTGGCAACCAGTCACTGGACTATTCCGTAGGACCCTAGGACTCTAGGATCAAAACACGGCGTGGTAGTTTGGCAAAACGCCTCTGCAAGCTGGTGCCAGGGCCATGGAAGGTGGACCCGAGGGCATTTTCGAATTCGCTTCGCAGCTTTGGGTGCCTTGGAATCCCTCCAAGTTGATGTTGTTTGGGAAGAAGCATTTCAGCCTGTTTTTGAACCAATGAATTTATGTTTTTTCCCATATTTTCCCCATTCTTGGGAAGACCATAATTTGGCTTTGTACTTTTTTTTTGCCAGCATGATTTGAAAGCATCCTTGTTGATTGCAGCCACGTGTCGAGGAAACCGCTTCTGTGGTTGTTTGAAGGCGCCCTCGCACAGGCACGGGGCCCAAGTGGATCTAGACATTCTGCTGGATGAAGTAAGAGGTGGAACCAAGAACATGATATGATGTAAAGACTGTATGGATTTGTACAGGTCTGTATAGATTTGTATAGATCTGTATAGACTGCATAGACTGTATGAACTGCAGATGTATCTCTGTCTATATATGAGATGCGGTCAAAATAAGCGTAGACTACTTTAGTCAGGGAGGGTCCAGTTCCGTTGAGAAAGTGCATCAGACCATGTAAAGCGATAGGCCCCTCGCAAAAAAGATAACTTGTAACCATATGAGAGTGCATTAAACTTGATGTAAACCAAGCAAATATTGTTATATGTGCCATACCATGTGTTGTCCAAGGTAATTGAACCCTTGCTTTTTGCAGGCAGTTGTTTTTTTCTCCCAGGTCCCAAAGCAGTAGAACTAAACTCAACTAAATGCAACCGAATTCTTGAATTCCGTTTATGTGCTTTATTTTAATTTGATTTCGTATTCCTTTATTCCTCTTTGTTTTTCCTTTCTTTTTCCTTTTGAATTCTGAAGAGAATCAGAATTGATTTTGAATCCAATTCTGTATTTCATTTATTTAACCGCCGTTGGCGTGTTCCGCCGGCCACCACGGCCAGAGCTATTTGGGTTTCTCAAACCTTCAAAGCAGAGACATGACATAGGAGAGATAAAGTGCAAGTGCATGCAGTAAAGCGTAGCAGCAGTCAGGATAGGGGTGCAGATTTGGGGCCATGGACGCAACTGAAAAGATTTTGGCGTCTCAAACATGTATAGCAGAGACAGGACATAGGAGGAGATAAAGTGCAAGTGCGTGCAGCTCAGCATAGCAGCAGCCAGGATAGGGGTCCAGATTTTGGGGTATGCAGGCACCTGAAAAGACAAAGGCCAACATAGCAAGGAAGGGGCGGTAACAGGAACAGATTAGATGACTGCGTGTTTAAGTCCGAGCTGAGTGAGGCATCCTTGGGGCGTATGCTTTGAGGATGGAGCCATCAGCTGGTGAAGGAGCCATGGAGGAGGACGCGATCGACGTGCTGGAGAGGCTGCCAGTGACAAAGATAGAAGATGAAGAATGGCGATTGTTTCCATTGCACACCTGGAAAAGGCCATACATAGAAAGGTTGCGCGTGTAAATGGTGTTCTGCACAAAAGCAAGTGGATTGACAGGCCACCTGTATGAGGTATAGAAACGTAGAAAGTGTAAGAATGACAGGGCAAACCGATCACGAGCACCACAATGGAAATGGGAACAAAAAAGAACATGCGCATGTCGCGCGAGGCGTGGGCAGAGTCAAATCCAGCACATTGCAACGAAAGACGCAGAGGAAAAACACGAAGAGGAGACACAAAACATGGGTTTTGCGTAAACCGGGGTTTGAGTTGAAACCGAATCATGTCTGTAAACAAAGGTTGAAACGAAAGATGAAAAGCACGACGCGGATGATGAAGGGGGGGAGGGGGGTGGGTTCAAGTTAGAGGAGGCAAAAATCCGCGCCAAGGGGACAGTCTAGACAAAGCCAAAGACAAAACAAACAGTACAACTACGAACAAGCAAGATCCACAAGACACGCCGGCAGGCCGGCGGATTCCATTTTAGTTCCCGTTGTTTGATTTCTCCCTTCTTCTTCCTTCGTTTCCTTTTCTCGTTCATTCCTTCCTTTTTCCTTTTATTTTTTTCAAGTGTCCTTTTTGTTCCAGGTTTCAATTTTCGTTTCCTTTCTTGATTATCAAGGTGTTCTAATTTAGCGATAAACTTGGCGATAACCTCTTGTTGAAAAAGGGACCCCGGACGAGGGATAGACTCATTTGATCCCAATAAGAAGAACTCCACAAAAAGCGAAGAGGTTCTCAACCCTAGGCCATCAAGTTGTTTTGAGACTTGAGGAGCCTTAAGCACTTTTTCATTTCTACGAACGCTCTTCATTGGAACTATGAGGTCCCATCTTCAATTTCCAAAGCTTTTGAGCAGGGAAGTGTGGCGTTTTCTGACGCCATGCCTTATCAAAGAGGGATAATTGCGAGGTGACCCTTTTTCGTTTTCATAGAATTTGTAATCTTATAACCGTTGGGAACCATTGATCTTAATTAAGTTCGGAGTTGAATTTGTAATAAATGTCCTTCCTTAGGAAAAAATGTAGGAATGTGCTTAGACAGTTCCTCAACATGGTTGCAAACGCAAAGACAACGAGCGCCCCTGAATCCATTCCCAGCAGTTTAGAGTCTGAATCCGTGAAGCCAATTCCGCTGCGTTTTTGCATTATTTAGTGTTGATTTGAACAAAACAATGTAAAACGATAGGGCCACCCCGAAAAAACGATAACCTCTATTTTCGTTCCAAGTATCAACAATTGATTCTGACGGCGGTTCATATATAGTATATATATAATATTAATATATAATTAATATATATATATATAAATATATATATAGTATAATATATATATAGTATAATATATATAGTATAATATATATATATAGTATAATATATATATAGTATAATATATATATATAGTATATATATAATATATATATATTATATAATATATATATAGTATATATAATATGTGTATAGTATATTTATAATATGATACATTATATATATAATACATATTTATATGATATATACACATATATACATATGGTTGGATGGTCAGCAGTCCGCTGCACCTTGACGCCGACAGGAAAGGTTGTTTTGACCCCTTGTTTTGACTCGACATCAGCCTTTCCAAAGCAGATGCGCTTATTCATCCTTCATACATCGCACTCAGCAAGGGGGTTTAAATGATACTTTGTCTACGCAAGACAGTGCTTATCCAAGACAGTTTTTAGAGTTTGAATTTTAGGCATTTACTTCTGAAGAGGTTGGAATGAGAAACTTTATGCTGCAGTCTCTACTGTCAAACATTTGGTATTCAACTCAATCAGAGTCTAGTCAAGATGCCCTCTGTCGTTTTTGCATGTCAGACTCAAGAACTTGGAGTGAAAATCACGTTTATTATGACATACTACACTCACACGCATATTGATAATCCGTTCAATCTGCTTGTCAGAAGGGACGCCTACCTTGTCATTTTTAAAGCAAGGTGCCATAGAGTAGTGGGAACGAAGAAGGAAATGCGCTAGTTCATCTCTCCTATATACCGCAACCTAGATGAATACATCTAATATTGTATATACAGGTACGCATACATCACAGTATATATATATACATATTTGAGTGACCCTTAGTACATTAGGTTGGCCATTTCAGGCTTTTAGAAATACGTAGGTTCTGCATTGCTTGCAGTTTTTGTTTGCCCTTCGTTTTTAGGGGCTCAAGATCAATGAAAGGAAATTTAGAAGGGAAACTCTCCAAGGAAAGCTCGGGTGTTTGGGCGTCCTGAAACACCTGGTTTCGGGCGTCCGAACAAGCCGTTTTACGTTTCATTTTGAACCCCAAACCTATTTTCCGACCCAGGAGCCTTACATAATAATGTTTATGCCCTATATTTCCACAAATACTATCAGCAGTAAATCTAACCTTGCAAATGGCGCCAGGCGAACGTTGTACGAGATATAGACGTCATTTTGAAAGTTCAAACTTTCTCAACAAGCATGCCTTTATTGAGATTTTGTGTTGAAACCCACCCGAGTCCCAACTAAGGAGAGGTGCTGTGACCCATTGACATTGACTTCAAAGATGGTCACTGCTGCCGAACAGAGGTGCTTGCCGTTCAAACCAGTGAAGACCCGAGCCCATATACACCTTGTGGCTTTGGGAGCCTGTTGTTGTCCGGTACAGTGGGTCCATTTGGAGCCAGTCTGTAGACTGCTGCGTGCTTTCACGCTAATTGTACATAGAAAATCATAGAAATACCATTCGTTGAGAACAGCAGCGCGCAGCGGGTGAAAGCAGGCCTGGGTGCCCTTTGCACATTTCCTCCTGGGTTTGTGAGGGTAGCCATGCTCCTGCAAAAGTGTAGCAGCTTCCGTTCAACTAGTCCGCAGAATAGTTACGTGTCTATCGGGTATGGAACAAAATGTAACACTAGAAAATTCAACCAGCCAGCCACAGGTAGGCCATTTTAGTATCCATTTTTAGGGCTACCCTAATGTTGACCCAGACCCATATCCATCAATCCAAGTTTGTTTGGTTGTTCGTGACTTTGTATTTGTCTGGTTACTTGTGACCTTAGCTTAATCAAAGCTTACTTGATTTGGGAATCTAAATCTTCTGCACAAACCGCTTCTTTGCTGATGGAGAGACCATGGGGCCACTCCTACGGAATGTGCTGAATTACGATGTTTTTGACGATTCCAATCTTTGCAAGTTGACGCCACATCTGAGCTGTTGTTCGTTGTTTGCCCTTCTGGTGTGTTTCCTTGATTAGTCGCGCCCCGTACTTGTGCAACTGAGTACCATAGAAGACTGTGTTTTATGTGTTGTTTCTCATCCATATCTCATCCATACAATAATTGACTGTACATCCATACGATAATTGACCGTAGACCATGCCCATCATCGGGAAATTCCTTTCCTCGGGAGACAGCAGAAGCGACAATGGTCAAGAAGCCGTGGTTGTTACTCAGCCACTTGGAGTTTCCTACATAGATCTTGTCGCCCCATGCAGGACCCTCATTACTACAATGTGGGTTGGAAGCAAGGTTCACCCACCCTAAGCATTCTTGATCATCATGAAGTACATATTACAAATTGTTTTTTCCAACTCCGCATAGATGCATGCAGGGGGCCCCCACCACACGCTTGGCAGGTTGCGAATGCCATCCTAAAATTTTTCAATCAAATTATGATTATCAGAATATCCTGTGGGAAAATAATCCCTTACAAAAATAAATATATTTAACTTAATTAAATTCGAATAATTATATATTTATAATAATTTTTAAAAACATAAATTAAATATATTGATTTTAAATAAATTATTTTATATTTTATTTTTTTAATAAAATAATAATAATAATATTATTTTTAAAATATTTTAATTTTATAAGGAAATAAAAATTATATAATTATTTTAAAATTTATTTTATTAATTAATATAAAAATATTTTTTGATATATAATTTTTAATTTTTTAATTG